AGCTCTACAGAAGGATGCTGAGAATAAAGTTGATTAAAAATATGAATAACGGGGAGCTTTTGCGAAAGATAGAAACAAAAAAGAACGCGTAAATTTAGAAGTAGAAAAGTTAACATTTTTCGGACACATAAATGGACTTGGAAATTGTGACACTCACGATGAATTGAAAAGAAAAGAGGCAGCTGTAAAGAGCGAATAAGCTACCTAAAATATATTGTAACTGGATGGGAAAACAGTGACTCAAAGAGATGGTGAAAAAACAAGCCTCAAAGATAGGAAGTTGTGGAGAGCCGTAATAGCCGAAGTTCTGAGAAAAGGGGAAGAAGTCTGTCCTCAATTGATGTAATGTTATTTTCCACCAGTGTATGTCATCGAAGATTCATCGAAAAATCCTTAGTCGCCTTTGTTTCACTCCGTCCAAGAATCAAAACCTAATCTCTTCTTATTAATATTTATGAGCTTTGTAAATTTCGCACATGCGCAGAATGACGTCAGTCAAGGTAACTATATATCGAAGTTAAAATATCCTTCCTCTATGAAAATTACGGTCCCTATATTAATATACAGGGTGAAGCAAAAGTCAAGCACAATAGGGATGTATGATAGGTTGAAGAGGCTCTGTTGAGTGTCACCGTGGCCACCACTACTCACATCCTTGGATTTTTTCTTATTGTAGGGCTATCAGAGGCCCCTAGTAAATATTGAGAACTTAATGAAAGAATTAAATGTGAATTATCTCGCTAGAACATTTATGAGCGAGTTCGATCCTCACTGGGTGCTCTTACTTTTGGCCTTGTGCCACATCAAAGCTACGCTTGGAAAATCACTATATAATGCCTTGGGCACCTCAAGGCGGTGTAATGGTTAACAAGCTTGTCTCGCTAAAACAATTATGACTGAGAAGCGAGTTCAATTCTCACTGGGTGTCCCAACTTTTGGCCTTGTGCAACATCAAAGCTACGCTTATAAAATCACTATATAATGCCTTGGACATCTGGTTAGCAAGCTTGTCTAGATAGAACAATTACGACTGAGTAGTAAGTTCGACCCTCACTGGGTGCAACCCACTTTCGACCTTGTGCCAGATCTACGTTTGGAAAATCAATACAGACAGAGAATTGAAATGTGTTTTGAAAAAGAAGGACATTTTCAACAGCACATACAGCTATTGGGTTGGTGCATAATTATCAGGCGTTTTTTGTAGGCGTTATTTGTTAATGAAAATTGCTGCTTTGTTTACTTTTTTCTAAGAAAAATCCTTTTCATAATAAATAGTGTTTAAAAACGCCTGATAATTATGCACCAACCCAATAGTAAATAAAATTTTCATGGATTATTATACTTTTAATAAATTACACCAATGTTGTGCGACTTTTGCCTCAGCCTGTTAAATAGCCACCAAGGTGACCAGTCCTCACACCCTCATTTTTTTTTTTTTGTCTGTGGGGCCATTTAAAATCAGTTGTTTTTCAGACACTCAAGAAATTTCGAGGAACTTAATGAAAGAATTAAATATGAATGTAGTAAAATGACGGAGGAAACTCTCTGAGCCATTAATGGATTATGGAAGGACAGAATTGAAATACATTTTTAAAAAGGAGGACATTTTGAACAGCACACATAACAATTAAATAACTAGTAAATATAATTTTTATGTTTAATTACACTTTTAATAAATTACCGCGTCTGGTGCAAGACCTTTGCCTCACACTGTGTGTTGCCTGGGCATATGGATTTTCACGTTTAATCACCGATTCCCGTACGGCTAGCAAAGTTAAGCAAAGTCAAGCTTGGTCCGTACCAAGATGGGTGACCGCCGGGAAATACCAGGCGCTGCGGGTGGTGTAATGGATAATGACTCGGAAATTTTATTCGAAGAATCGAATTCCAGCCGGGTTCGTTATGGTCACTTAAATGCAGATATACTTTGGAAAGGTATATATCCAGCTCTTCTCTTCCTAACTATGGGTTAAATAGTAACGGGAAGTAAGGGAACGGTGATATACACTGTTCAACTGTCAATCTCTCTCGAGGACCTCGAACGATGCTTTGCCGAAGGGTAAAGTTTTGTCCGGGGAGGTAGACAGGCCCTGAACCCATTTATACGGGTTCAAAGGGAATATTTTTCGTCCAGCCTACGGGCTCGGAGAACCCACAATAAACCGGCCTTGTGCCACATACGACCCACGTGGGGGGGGAGTTAAATATAATGGGTTAATTAGTAAGACTTTTATCACTATATCATTATTTACTCCAAATAAATTCTTAAAATCTAAAAAAAAAGGTTTCTGCTTTTAACAACCTGCAAAGTGTTAATAAGTCGTAGAAAGTGAATCAATGAAATACTTATTAGCTACAAAAGCATGTATTTTATCTTTATTTACATTATCTAGAATATAAATGTATAGAAAATACAACCGCTACAAAGTGAGGGATCAGTTTATATATTAAGTGTATAGAATTGATCCCAGACTTTATATCCACGTTATATGTAAGTAAATATTATAAAAATTTGAAAATAATAAAATTATTTTATCTTTATTCGACACTTTAATTCGGCATAATCTTTCTTCGTATACGCAACCGGGCTCAATAGTTTATTTACATTTATTTTGCACACATTTTTTTTAAATTTTCTTTTACAATCACCATTCTGTATCATACCTTCACATAAAGTCACACTTAAAAGGCATTAGGGACCCCGAACTATGTAATGTTTTGAATACATTACAGTACGCGCGCTAGAAAAATCATATGAGCAACCTAAGGTGTCTCACTTAAGTTTCAATTACGGTTTAATTAGACAATATCAACTGTAATTGCGACGAAATCAAAATTAAACCTGTAATAATAATTTTTTTTTTTTAAACTTTTCACTCTTTTCTCTATATAAATTTAACTTTAAATGAGTTGTTTATTTCACTTTTAATCCCGTGTAACTACAATAGTTACTACCTGTGACTTCAGGTTGTTTACGATCCACCGAGATCGAAAAAAGGACGGACGGACGGACACACGTACACTGTGCTTTATTATTATAGACTTCCTTTATTTTTTATGCATTTTGAAGAATGAGAAACAATCATGTACAATGCAGAATGGTTAGATTTTTTTTAATTATTTAAAGGTATATATATATATATATATATATATATATATATATATATATATATATAAAAAATATATATATATATTTAGAGAGAGAGAGAGAGAGAGAGATGAAAATATACGATAGGGATATTCCCGCCAAATATGAGACACATTTTCAGCGTTGTCGTCTGCCAGGCTCCCTTTCCTAAGCGCTCCTCGCTATTGTCAAAACCATTCTAATGGCATTGTTATTAACCCTGTAGTTCTTGATTAATAGCCAGGCCATCTGTTTCTGCTGTGATTTCTATAACAGTTATGTTTTCACGGGGTCTACTCACGCCCATGGTGCTTTTTTCTATATATCTTGATATTCTCGACCTAAAAAAAAAAAGGAAGGGCCCATAAAATTATCAGTCATAAGCAGAAATCTCGGCTTCGGTCAATTTCTAGCCGTCGTGACGTGGTCTCATTCTGACTTCTTTATAACTGGGTTCACGATAGTTTATTCTAATGTGCACTCCTCCTAAACCGCATGAAATTAAGCGTACTACTTGACTGCCAATTAGGTCTCACCTATTTTACTGTTGAACTAGCTAAATGCAACCGTAAGTTCTAATAGTTTATTTTTCTAGCACTTCTCACATGTGGAACTGTCTTCCTGTTTCTTACTTCGCTGCCATCTCCAATTGCCATCTTACGTCTTCCTAAATTATTTTCACTTAATGTTGTTTCTCCTAACTAAAGTCTTCTCAATCTCTTTCACTCCCAGTTATCTCTTGCGTCTCAGGGGCATTATCGCCTTGCTTGGTGGGAAACGACAAAAAAGAAGACCCTGTATCAGCGTCAAGAACACCCACAACACAGTATTCAGACAAACACTGATAAAAAGAAAAGTCAATGACCAGCGATATATAAAAGTATACGCTTAAATTATTCATAATCTATTGATGAGGGCCATAACAACATATATACATATATATATATATATATATATATATATATATATATATATATATATATATATATATAAGGAACATTGAAGTCGACACTTACAGGCGACAAGCTAAACGCAATCGTCAGGCCACGAGTGTTGTTTTTTCTCCTCGGCTAGTTATATATACAGGTCAGTGGTGCATTGTGGATAGTCTATTTAGGTAGTTGTTTTGCCGGAAGTTGTTTAATTGTTTGTTTATTTATTTATTTGAGTTAATTTATTTTGCTTATTTTTTTATTTTTATTTTTATTTCTTATCTTATATATTTATTTATTTATTTTTATTTTAATCAGTGTTTAATTAACGGAGTAAAAATTTGTTTATATTGCTTATTTAATGGTTTTGTTTTGGTTTAGGAAGTTAATCAAAGCTGTTTATTCAATTTTAGGGCGGTTGCTGTAGTTTATTCTAATTATTATTTTGGCGGTAGCATTTTTTAATTTGTTTATTACTTATTTTACAGTTATTTGGATTTATTATCTTTACTTGTTTTTTCTAACGGTTAATTTATCGGGAGCGGTTTGTTAGTTTATTTATTTTTTTATCGAGATTAATTTAGATTAATTTATTTTCTTGTTTTTTATTATTTATTTATTATACTGTATACAGACTACGAATGTCTATTATGTTTGATCATGAACCGTTCTAAACTCCGTATATTTGCTTTAATTTCGGGAGAAAATAAAGATAAAAAAATTTGATGGTAAACATCTCTGTTGAAATGTCCATATAATCACTCTGATGATGGCTCGCGTGTGCCGAAAGCTTAGATTGAGGAAGAGCATAATAAAAATAACCAAATTTTTGAACAGTTTTCGTCTTTATTTTCTCCCAAAACTAAAACCACTCTACGGTGCTTAGAACGGCTCATGATCAAGCATAATAGACGTTAGTTGTCTGTTATATTTAGCGATACATATTTGAATAGATAGATAGATAGATAGATAGATAGATAGATAGATAGATAGATTGTGATACGATGTCCCACTTACAGAAGGAAGTTGTGTTTTTTTCGAACTAAATTGGTTCTAGTGTATACTTACTTAGTATGTCCAATGATTTGTATGTAACATCTTTACTAACTGTGGTCCGTACTACAATGGAAAAACTAGCCTCTCCATCGTACATTAAGATTGTAGTAAAAATATAGCGTACATGCAGACCATGAAGTCAGTCCTTGCAGATCATTTATGGAAGGAACGGTGTAGCCATTTTCTACTTCAAATCGAAATCATGATAACTGACTAGAGGATACGGAAACTAGAGGAATCAGCACATACGTTATTATGAAAAATCCCATTAGTAAACCCTGTCTGGAGTTTAATAACATATGGAAGGCAATAAATAAAATAAAGTAAAAAAACAAAAAAACAAACAAACTAAAAGCATTGTCAGAATTACAGTAACGCAATGCGGCTAACGCGGGAAGATTATGGAATTAAACAATGCTCGCCCACGTGAAGAAAAGGCATAGGACATGGTTTCGAAACGATGAACTGACAAGAGACACGAAGCCAGAAAATATGAGAATCGAAAAGACGTTGAAAACAAAGAGAAACTCGGTCAGCAAGGCGTCAGGTCGACTTGACATAGACAACAAATTAGTCCGTAAGCAGAAAACGATAATAATAATAGATTACAGTGTGAAAAAACAATGACTGAAATAAATAATAAAAAAGCGGGAAATAAATCAAGCGAAACTTATGGGAATAAAATGAACACAGCATTAACATCGTATGAACACATGGTTGCGCAGAGGATACTTCAATAGCGAAACAGAATCATCGTTGTTAATAGCAAGTGTATTAAATATAAAAGCGTAGAGTATTATAATTATTGATGTCGCACACTAAGAAATGGACAACGTCCGACAATTATTTTAATATATTTTATTGTTATATGTTATTTATATATTCACAGATATTTAAGTAAATGCTCTCTTTACAATAAGCAGTATTAACAAACATTTACCGTCCTGAACCACAGAGAAATTTTCATAGGAAATATGTGACCTCCGACAGGAATCGAACCTGTATCCTAGACGGAATCGTCATATAGCCTGACGTGTTATACCAGTTTAGCTACAAAGGAAGCGTCTGGTTGATTTTACTGCTTTTAAACTACAATTTTCTATGATTCCCCTCGAACGCTCATATATGCTCGAAGCGTAACTAAACGTAAACAAATGACGTCACACACTACGAAATGGACAACCATGAGGTGGTAGTGTATCCGATATAGGTATTGATTTGGTACAAGAAATGCACTCTTGTACTGAGCAGTGAAATTGATACACTACATTGGTCATTGCTAATTTAGATTTGATGTGATTATTGTGATTACTGATAGCAAGTTTCACGGTCTTCCAATTTATGTAATATATTATAAATTTTACATGTTTTTCGGGAATTACGACTGAAATATTGTGTTTAATGATTCGTCGTATAGCGAATTCGTCCTGCATATAAATATTGTGCATCTGGTTGCATTAAAAATCTTGATGTGGTATTTTTATTAAATATTCGTAAGAATAATTTTATTTGTTTATCAATGATTTATTTGAGAAAATTATTGTTGACCAATGTTTGTTTTATGTGTTTTAGTTAATACACGCACACACACTCATATATATATATATATATATATATATAGATAGATAGATAGATAGATAGATAGATAGACCTAGTGAGCCAGACAAGGTGTATCTAGGTCTGCTCTACGGTTGTATTGAGCACTTTTGTTAGTTAGTTGTTTATTAGTATCGGGTTTTTTCTTTTGGGCTTCAGACCTGCATCTGTGCGATTTTTTTGTCAGCAGAAGTTCATGTTTGTAGCTCTTTCTTTTTAAAACCTTTTTTCCCTCGAGATTGATTTGATTATTAGCAAATCAAAATTCGAGGTTTTTTCGAATATATATATATATATATATATATATATATATATAGATAACTAGACTTGTTTCGAAAAACCCTCGAATTTTTGATTTGCTAATATATATATATATATATATATATATATATATATTAAAGGCATTTTATGTTTAGACATTCTTTTTTAGATACAAATATTTAAGTAAATGCTCTGTTTTATAATAAACAGTATTAGTAACATTTACCAGCCTGAATATCCGAGAAATTTTCATAGAAAATATATCGTCCTCCGAAAGGAATCGAACCTGTATCCTATACGGAACCGTCATTTAGCTTGACGTGCCTTTACCGATTTGGCCACAGAGGAGCGTTCGGTTAGCAAGGTCGGTTTTACTGTCTTTAAACTACAATCTTCGCTGATTCTCTCACGTACATGCTCATGGCGTATCCAAATGTAAACAGATGACGTCACACATTATGAAATGGACAAAGTCCGACAATTATTTTAAGACATTTTTATGTTTATACATTCTTTTTATAGATACAAATATTTAAGTAAATGATCTGTTTTTATAATAAGCAGTATTAAACAACATTTACCGGCCTGAATGTCCGAGAAATTCTGATAGAATACATACATATAAGTTCGATTACTGTCGGAGGACGAATATTTTCTATGAAAATTTCTCGGACATTCAGGCCGGCAAATGTTGTTTAATACTGTTTATTATAAAAACAGAGCATTTACTTAAATATTTGTATCTATAAAAAGAATGTATAAACATAAAAATGTTTTAAAAATAATTGTCGGACTTTATCCATTTCATAATATATATATATATATATATATATATATATATATATATATATATAAAAGAGCGCCTATTTATTCATTAACTTTATGGAAAATTCAATTACATTAGCTTAAGAAAATTTATAAGTATTGTTACATCAAAACAACAACTTTATTCAAAATACTCCTCTTCTTGTTCAATACAAAATTGAACTCTCTATCAGGCAACGCTTGTACAAAAAATTTGAAACATCTCGACATTAATTTAAGAATATTTATCAGTAATAGCTTGTTTTAATTCAGGAATTGTTTTCGGATTGAGTTTGTAAATAACATGTTTCATTAGCTTCCATAAGCCTCTGTAAAAATATTGGACGTGGAAAAATATTGCTTCGATGTTTAAATTCTATACCGTATTATTTTTCCTTTGGTGTACATGTTATATTTGATTTATATTGTTAGTCTGTGCGTATATAGATGAATGAAGAAAATAAAGAAATAAGCGATCCTCAACCACGGCTCTACAAATTTAAATCGTTTTTTACTCGTAAATATTAGTTTTCTTTCAAATTGAAATAAATGAATTACAAAGATTCTGTGCGAAACGACTTTGCACAAAAATATTTCGTTTGTCTTTCTGTACAACACCACTGATTATTTGCGTTGGTATAATAAAAAGTAGATTGCGTGTATCACGTATTTACGTTATGTTATGCATGCGTGTAATTTTCCTGTAGCAGCAGCGTGTCGGCAGGCAAGAAAGCTACATTAATACGAATTCTAAAACCCTGTGTTGACAGTAACTCGGTTCGTACGATTTTTGTGTACCTTAACACATCACTAAATCCTTTTTTGTGATATAGTATACTCGAATAAATACGTAAAAATGGTTTGGTTCGGTTTATTTTGTTTTACAGCATATCAACCTCAATGGGTTATTTAATGCTGACAACATTTTTTATTGCTGGTAATGTTTTGTCTGGTAAAAAACTGTTTCTGGTAATATTTTTCTTTAAAAATAGTAATGGTAATAGTTAACTATTTGCCCATAGCTGGGACCCTAACCGGTGCTACCACCCTGGGTCAGGGTGGACCTGGGAAGACCACCAATAAAGAGGGGGTTTCACGCTCCTCAAAACCCCCTGATCAGACGCCTTGCTGCTGGATGTAGTTTATTGTCTTACCCAGGACGCGGATGTGAGTAATTAATTAAGTTTTCGGGAATTTCAGCTTGCATAACAAATAGACGACCCTGGTCAAAGGCTAAGTGAAAAAAATAATTTCTGAGAACTAATACAATCGCTTTTTTATAACCGAGAAATCGGCTCCGAAATGACTAAAATATAGATTTTATTAAACTCTAAAGTTTATTGGTTAATAAATATTTTCCCTATTTGTGAATATCTGTTTTAAGGAGGGGAAACAATTGGTGATCATTTTCTGGGGTGAGCCTTCAAATTTTAGTAGCAGGCGATAAACATTTTTGTTTAAAATTTCAAAGACTACCACACGTTTCATGCTGTGGCTTCCCTTTGCCTTTTCTATAAATATTTTCATGGCAACTGCTCTGACGAACTACTTTCACGGTTACCCCAACTGCATAGATTTAAGCATCTCGGTCCCATACTTTCAATATCGAAACAGTTAAATGTAGCCACCTCTTAACAGCTTTTTAGACGCACTTCTCGTCAGTGGAACTCCCTCCCAACTACTTGCTTCCCTGATGGCTATAATCTTTAAGTATTCAAATGTAATGCCAATTGACATCTTCTGATGCGATGATCCTGATCCCCGTCCTTCTCTATGTCCTTTCCTCAAACACGCATCTTTACCTTTTCCCTCACTCTCTGTAACTCCTTCCATGCTAGTGGCGTTCCTGCCTTGCTTGGAGTGGAATGCTTAAAAAAATGTCGCTGATTGATTAAAATATATGAATATAGAAATTTAAATTTGGGGCCTACAGAATGCGCAAAATGAAACAAATACTAATCGATGATATCACTAAAATCCATTGCATTTTTTTCTTAATTATTAACGGGGTCCCAGACGTATATTATCCTATTCAATATTAATTATAAACAAAAAAGTATATTTCATTCAAATCATCAAATATTTCCAGAGATAAGTTTAACGCTTCCCAAATCAAATTGGTCCCTTTTAATTATTTTTCATCTTTGTTGCCTTCAATCATTATGGCTGATGCTAACCTCCAAAAGAGCAATACGTTGTGCCTGCTCGATCTAACGTTTTCTACTGGAAGATTATATTGAATAGGTTGCTATGTCAGTTGTTAAGAAAGTTCCCTGTGTCGTGTCAGACAGTTTTTCTTGAAAGAATCTATTTTAAATATTCGAAAGTTTATCATTCGTCCGTGCAATAATCTGATCTGCCGCTTCTGTTATGTATCGAGACATTCAAGAAAAAATCTAAAGAAGAAACCTGCATAGTTATCGGTCCTGACCTGGCACCTCGGCTTCAATCAACACCGTAACACGACCTCTCTGTGCTTTTCTATGAATATTTTTGTTGTGGGGTCTGGAAATACACAGCACTTAATTCGACCGAGTCAGTCATAGTAATATTCGATACCCACCTTGATAAGTCACTGCAATAGTATTATTTTTAATTTAGCTCTCTAGACAATTACCCAGGACTACTTATCATGAATGGATCATGGTAATATTTCTAATGAGTTCTGCTAATTGAGACCTCGATTTAAGGAAAATAAGCGTAATACTATACTGGCAACTGTTGGAATTGCTTGATGTAACCGTTAGTTCTATATTAATAGTTCCTTCTCTCGCACTTCTCGCTTGTGGAACTCTCGTTCGGCTTCTTGTTTTTCTGACAACTACTATATTTAAAAATATAAATGCAGTGCCAGTCGCCATTATCCATCTCCTTAAATTCTGTTCTTCTATCGTCCTCTCTCCTCAATAAGTTTTTTCCTATCTTCTTACACAGCAACCTCTTTCGACTTCGTGATTTCTCTCTGTTGGTTCCAGTCTTCTCCAGGAATGATTCTTTATTGCTATGAAATAGAGTAATTGTAACACGAGGCCGAGGGAGACGTGGGGTAAGGTTGGTCTATATTAACTGTCGTAAATCAATCTAATCCTACGAAAGACTCATTCATTCATGTTTGCTCCTTCACCGCAAGAACTCATCTATCACCATTCAATCCTACATATACCACAATACTACATAATCACAGGGATACTAGTGAAATTGAAGGTGTAAAACTTTTTTATGTACAAATCTTTACTAGGAATGACAGCAAAACATTTTCCTCTCCCCAGTCATTAGGCAGAAGTACACAAATGCAGGCTGGGATTTTTTCATAGCCAATAAAGCAGGACAGTTCTCTCTTTCATATGATTTAGTTCCGGTCTGTCTTGTTTTGAAGTCAGAACGCTGCATTCGTTTGTTCGAGCTGCTACTTGTGTGTCAACCCATATGTCATTTTCTAATATTTTGCTTTGCCTTATTACTGTTGATTGGCCCTGCATATATCGTTTGCTTTTTTTATATTACTTTTTTCCATGTTCTTTTCTTTTTTCTTGTTATTGCTTATTGTAAACTATGTTACTTCTGTATTTACATTAGTCGGACCATTTTCCTCATCTTTGTCGCCATATTTGTCACAACGTTTCGGCCGTTGTACAAATATGGCGACAAAGATGAGGACAACAGCCCGACTAATGTAAATACTGTACATAATACCTCATCTCAGAAATATAGACAGACTATGTTACTTCTGTTTGAAATTCTACCGTTGATTTTACATTTATCTATGACCAGTCACTTTACACTCTCGTGTTTTTGTGGGTAAAAATGATTTAAAAAAAAAAACGAATAAAAGCCCTTCATTCCTCCTCGCCATGAATTTCATTCATTTTTATTTTGGTTTGACAAATCTTGATTGTATGATATTTAAACATATTTCTTATCTACAATTCTCATTAATTTGTTCATAGATTCATTTTTAATATTCTTGTGCGGACTGTTACAACGGCACAGTGCAAATAAGCGTTATTTATTATTTCAGCAACTTTATGAATAACATATAGCTATCCTCTTTAAAAAATCAGGCTTGAGCTAACTCACAAAATTGCAGCCAGTCTTCCAATCTCATTTTTAGCAAGGCTACAAGCTCGAACCAAATTTTGCTGGTTCCCAGTTAATCGTCCCAACACGGAAAGCGGCGGTCGACTTGATACCTGGGTAGATGCGGAACTCGCCAACAAGGAACACCAGAGTCGAGTTTTGGCCGAGGCTGCCAACCTCACCACACTCGAGCAAAAGTTCGAGCTGTACGGTTGCTAAATGATGTTAGCCCGTCAACCTCGTCCTACCTACAGATATCTGGCTATGAGCGCCCTGCAATGCTAAAGAACTAATGCACACGCTATTTTTTGCCAAATATAAATCCTTGTATGGTTTACGGTAATATATTCCATCTCGATGCATCAATTAATAAGATAGATTGTCCAGCAGCTAAACTGGTATGCCATAATTAGGGGTCACGTAAAAAGTGTATTCCAGAAATCTACTAAAATTGAAAATAGGACCACAAACAGATGAGCAAGGTGCGAAACAGTCACGATTTAGTCACTAGTCAGAAAGGTCCTCAATCCGCGTTATCAGATATGCTGGCAGATTAAAACGGGGCCGTAAAACCGGTTTGATATCACCCAGTACTGTCTCTCATCTTCTGTGGAATGGAAAGCGATTTGAAGGAGGTGGCCCAGATCCACCGCCAGGTCCACTGACAATAGAGTGGGTCACGTTCCATTTGGAATCACCCAGACTAGTTCAATTAACCACCGTAGTCATTGTATTATCGTGTTCGCCGATTTAGGGGTTCACGCTTGTTCCACTGAACCAGAGGTCTTAAAACTACCAAGACGTCCGAACAAGTACCTCGTGCCAACTACTTATCAAATAGGTGACATTGCGGACAACCAACTTCATATAAAGGGCGTGAATGTTTATGTATATAGGAATTGGCTCAAGGGAAGACAGAATTATATTATTATTTAATTAGGACAAAGAATGGCTTGTTAATCGAAACACCTCCAAAACTAAACTGATCTCATTTAATGGTTTAAGAGAGACCTTTTTGCCACCAGGAGTGTAACTCGCTGCGTCTTATCAGACTAAAGTTTCCCGCTGACATGAAGTGGAAAGATTATATTGAATCAATTGCTAGTTCTATTGCTAGGAAATGCAATTCACTGTGTCGTGACAGAAAATATTATCGTCAGAATACATTATCGACATTTATAAATCTATTATCCGTTTCTCTAGTAAATGTAGCTGAAATACTTAGTGTGGTGCTCCTGTTATATATCACGAGATTCCCGACAAAATCCAAAGAACGATCTGTAATGTTGCTTACCTGGCAACTCAGTTGCAGTCACTTTTCCACCATCTTTATGTGTCTTCCCTCTGTCTTTCCTATAAATATTTTCATGGCAATTATTCTAATGTTTAATAAATTGAAGCTTACGACTGGATTGGCAACAAGGTCTCATTGTTTCACTGCTCAAATAGCTCCATGAAACCGTCTTATTTTAAAAGTTTCTTTGCTCTTGACCTGGGAAGATTATTTAAAACACGATCTTATTATTCTGAAATCAGATAAAAGAGTACAAATATTATTATCTAGATGATTATTAATTTAGAGTGGCTAACAGAGAAACGGTTTATTCATTTCAAATTTAGTCTTTTAAGATGTATATATTGTTACGGTTTTTTGTGTATATTATATATGTAACTAGTGAGCGAGTCAAAATGACTTAATTCCCTTTATCGTCTACTAATAGAAGATTAACCAATCAGGAGCCGCAGAACACTGGATCCGTCGTGTATAAAGGCGGCCATCTTTGTCTTCCTACCTGGATGACCAGAGGCAACTTGTCCGGCGAACATGACAGACGGAAGAACTACACTCTGCTGTGATATCCACTGCGAACCTAAAGTACACTTTCCTACTGTCTCCGAAATATTCACTGCCAACCTCTGGATTCTATACTCGAGGACGACTGTCATGAAAATGTCTAACATATATGGTCAATGGAGATGGAGAGCCGAGATCGAATTCCAGTCGAATCCATTGCATTCACTTACGTGCTAATACCCTTGGCAAGGATATGAATCCCCTTCCTCTCCCCTCTTCTATGGGTAAATAGCAGGACAGACTAGATTCTATAGTTTTGGGTAGCAACTGGTACACCACAGAAAGAAATGGCAACCTACTGCGGGAAAAATCTGCCTCGTCAGTCATGTATCGAAAGATACATGATCGCATAAGCGTGTCTCACGCATGGCATCTAACTGATTAATTTAGAGTGGGTAACAAGGAAACGGTTTATTCATTTCAACTTTTGTCTATTAAGATATATATATATATATGCTCAATGAAGATGGAGAGACGAGCTCGAATTCCAGTTGAATCCATCACATTCACTTACGTGCTAATAACCTTGGGTAAGGTATGAACCCTCTTCTTCTCTCCCCAGCTATGGGTAAATAGCAGGACAGACCAGGTTCTAGAGTCTTGGATGGCAACTGGTCTACCGCAGAAAGAAATGGCAACCTACTGCAGTAAAAAAATCTGCTTCGTCAGTCATGTATCGAGAGATACATGATCGCCTAAGCGTATATCACGCATGCCACATAACTGATTAATTCAGAGTGGCTAACAGGGAAGCGGTTTATTTATTTCAACTTTTTTTGTTTTTTTAAGATGTATATATGGTTAATGAAGATGGAGAGCCGAGTTCGAATTGCTGTCGAATCCATTACTTTGACTTACCCTTGGGAAAAGATATGAATCCTCTTACTCTTCCCTCTGCTATGGGTAAATGGCAGGACAGAGAAGAAGAAGAAGAAGAAGAAGAAGAAGAAGAAGAAGAAGAAGAAGAAGAAGAAGAAGGAATATTCGTAGGCTTTAATATAAATTCTACTTCTTCTTCTCCAACAACAACAAAATGATGAAGAGAGAGAAAAAGAAGAAATTGACGAAGAAGGAGGAGGGGGTTAAAATGAAGAATAATAATAATAATAATAATAATAAGAAGAAGAAGAAGAAGAAGAAGAAGAAGGAATATTCGTAGGCTTTTATATAAATTCTACTTCTTCTTCTCCAACAACAACAGCAACAAAATGATGAAGAGAGAGAAAAAGACGAAATTGACGAACAAGGGGGTTAAAATGAAGAAGAAGAAGAAGAAGAAGAAGATAATAATAATAATAAGAAGAAGAAGAAGAAGAAGAAGGATAATAATAATAATAATAATAAGAAGAAGAAGAAGAAGAAGAAGAAGAAGAAAAAAAGAAGTACAACAAGAAAAATGAAGGAGATGGAGGAGGAGGAGTGGAAGAGGAAAATGAATAAGGAGAAGAAAGAAGAGAACAAGGGGAAGGAAGAGAAGAAGAATAAGGAGAAGCATAATAATAATAATAATAATATGATGATGATGATGATGATGGTGATGATGATGATGGTGATGATGATGATGATGAAGGAGGAAGAGGTGAATAAGAAGTAGGAGGAGGAATATAATAATAATAATAATAATAATAATAATAATAATAATAACATGATGATGATGGTGATGATGATGATGATGAAGGAGGAAGAGGTGAATAAGAAGTAGGAGGAGGAATATAATAATAATAATAATAATATGATGATGATGATGGTGATGATGATGATGATGATGAAGGAGGAAGAGGTGAATAAGAAGTAGGAGGAGGAATATAATAATAATAATAAAGAATTCAAGACCAACAACAACAATGACAACAAAATAAAGAACATGGGGGAGGAGAGAAAGAAGAAAAAGAAAATGAAGTCAATGAGTTCAGTTTATATGTAAAGATTATTATCTATTAATACATTGTTGCATTTTTGTTTTTGTATTTGTTTAATAAATCCTGTCGGTAACAAGACGAGTTGACGTTTCTGCTGGTTAATCCTACCCGTTATATGTCGGTGCAATAAACAGTCACTAAAAGCAATCTGAATGCAATACCCAGTTACCGTGAATGTCATGGAACTGAGGCTGTAAGATGTACGCGGAAGCCAGTGTCACTTATTAGACGGACTGTACTCGCTTGTAATTTCTCGCATGAAGAAATAAATAATAATTCCTGACAAAATGAATGGCCAAGTCACAAGACAGAGTAGATTAAAACCTTATACTGGTGCCTTTTCATTGGTTTCATTAAAGCATTACTGTCCTCTGGTCTCTACAGCCTTTTACCATTATTCTCTAAGACCCTAACGCCTAAACTCTAATTAAGCTAACAAGATAGGGCCGACACTCCTGAAGCCAGAATTTGTAAGCCATAACGAAACTGACTTGTAACTTTTGTTCGGCCGCTTGTGCTTAATTGCAATGGTCATGTCAGCGGGTCGATGGGGGTCCTTTGGTGATAAGATTCTACTAAGCACAAGTCAAGTGTTACGCGAGTCTGATTCTTAGAAGTTAAAATGATTTGGTTTCTTGGAGTGATGGCGGTAACACATTATATCTGTTTTGAAAGGCGCTATCGAAAGCAATTGGTGACAGCGGCCGCTATATCTCTCGCCATAATTCTCTTTTATAACCTCACCCCGATCTTTCTTTAAGATTTCATTTTCTCTTTCATATGCTCCCCTCTTTTTCGCTTTCATTATTCGCTACCCTCTTTTTTTCTTTTTCCGCATACGCTACAAACCCTTCATCATATTATATTTTTAAATCAATTCACCCCAAGCAAGGCGAGAAGGTCACTAAGAGGCAAGTGAAAATGAATGAGAAGAATTTAGAAGAAATCGGAAACCCAATCCTAAACAGAAACAAGGGATAAATTTCTACTCCTAAAAAATTGAGGAGGAGTGTGAACTGGGCGGTAGGCGAACATATTTACTCCTATCAAATAAGCTTTTTTTTTCTTCACATAAACACGTCTTTTCTTTTTCATGGAATAGAAATAGTTTTTCCATCTTTGGAGACTTACAGTCATGTTTCTCTTTCTTCAGATACTCCTCTCTACTCCCCTTTCTTTAGATGCTCCCCTCTATTCCTTTTACTTCAGGTGCTCTACTCTATTCCTCTTTCTTCAGATGATCCCCTATACTCTTCTTTCTTCAGATGCTCCCATCTAAAATTACCTTCCGGTGGTTCTGACAGCGCCAAAAATTGGAAAAACACAATTGTTTTTGCACGAAATCAATTTGAAAACACGATTAAGAGGCATCACTGTCGCCAGAATGAAAGGGGAACAACTCATATCGAGTTATACTTATTATAAAACCCAGGTTGTTTGTGTGTGTGTGTGTGTGTGTGTGTGTGTGTGTGTGTGTGTGTGTGTGTGTGTGTTCGTTTATATATGGGATCGGATTTCCAACATTTTTCATCCGATTTCAACAAAACTTCACTTTTTTTGGCAGGTAGTGTTTCTTATTGTCTTGCACACTTTTTTCTTTATTTTTACATTCAGAATGCTTTAAAAATTCCATTTACAAGACAATTGTTTATAATAAAATTCTATTCAATCGGTAGACTCATAACGATTGAAAACAATGTTTTTGTTTGAGTTTGGGTTTGACCAATTCGTAAAAAAATAATTAAGATATGCGTGTCCGTCAAGCTCAAACAATAATCTTTGTCGATTTTATTTTTCAGTCTTTTTTTCATGGTCGATACTTGATCTATCTCTTACTGTTACATCCCCGGGCAACGACGGGCTCTAGTGCTAGTCAGTTAATAACAAAATCCTTTTTCCTTAATGTTGATATAGAATTAAATCCGAAGTATTTATCACTTAATCGTATAAAATAACAGCAATACAAACTCTTTTCTTCTAAACTATGATAGCCAATGCCCGGAAAGATATAAAATAGCAGTGATAACGAACTTTCTGAATAGAGCGTGGAAAATTTCCTCTTCCCAAGGAATATTTCTAAGCGAACTAAAACACATAAAGCAATCATTAGTCAACAGTAATTTTCTCCGCTACTGCATTGATAAACAAATAAAATTATTACTACGAAAAATACCCGACACAAGTAATAAAAAAAGTCGGTAGCAAAACATCAACATATTTGAATACAACCAGATGCTCAAGAATTATAAGCAGGATAAATTCGCTATTTTTGTCGTAATTCCCCAAAAACACGTAAAACATATTGCATAAACGGTAAACGGTAAATTCATTGTCACTAATCATATTAACCCAATCACATCTAAATTATTGATGGCCATTATAACAATTTCCCATCTCAGTACAAGACTGTTCCTTGTCATAAATAACTTACCTATATCGGACATTCCAGCAGCTCCTTAAGTAGCCGCCTCACATGCTATATATATATATATATATATATATATATATATATATATATATATATATATATATATAATATTAGTGGTATATATACATATACATATGCAAAAATATATAAATATATATACATAGATGCATACACATACATATATATTTTTTGAATAAAAAATTCCAAGAAGATAGAACTCAAATTTTCTTAATTACACAGCGACCCTTTCTGTAAATACCCTTCAGTTTTAGTTTCCCCCGCCCCATCTATCTCCCCCACCCCTTTTTTCTTTTCTTTTCCTCTCCCTCCCTCTTCTTCTGATCTTTAAGATTAGATCGTCTATTGTGTGTGTATGTCACCACAAAATGTATCCTTTCCGGTTACATCTTTAATGTATTAGACATCCGACAACATTCATATTTCTCTCACTTAAACCGTCTTCAACTCACCTCTCTAAAACTCCTCTCTTTTAAGTTTTAATCTCCCACCTTCTCTCGTCTGTTGCCCCTCTCTTTAGCTCTAACTTTCGTCCCACATTCTCATACTTACACTCTCTTTAAATTCTATTTTTTATTTCCGGAGTTGTTTTTGCCGTTTTCTTTTTGAATTTGTAGGTCTGATGAATTTGATCGTATTTACGATTCTAATGGAATAAATTATGACCATGGAATATTAGTGTTTAAGCCTTTTTATCATATATATATATATATATATATATATATATATATATATATATATGTGTGTGTGTGTGTGTGTGTGTGTGTGTGTGTGTGTGTGTATATATATATATATATATATAATTGATTTTAGGATATTACACTGAAAACGTGTCAAAATCGTTACACGATTGCAGCTGTGTTTACGATCTATCCGTATTTATAAAAAAAACACGAGCAAGAATTCTTGTCATCTAACCTATAATAGCAAATGCCCGATATACATAAATAGCAGTTATAAAAAAACTTTCTAACTAGAGAACCCCTAAACTTCTCTTTCCAAAGAATATGTCCAAGTGAACAAAACATAAAACAAACATTAGTCAACAGGAATTTTCTCAACTACATAGATAAAAAAATAAAATTATTCTTAAAAACTCTAGTAATAAAAATACACCGTCAAAAAAAAACAACATATTTTACTGCAACCAGATACACAATAATTTTAAGCAGGACAAATTCGCTATAGGAAGAATCATTAAACACTATATTTCTACCGTAATTCACGAAAAACATTTAAAACTGATAATATATTACAGAAACTGTAAACATTAAACTTCATTGTCACTAATCAAATAAACCGAATTACATCTAAGCTATCGATGGTCAGTATAACAATTTCACTTCCAAGTACTTGTCATAAATCACTTACCTATGTCGGGCATAACAGCACCTTCTTCAGTAGTCGCCTCCTCAAATGATATATATATATATATATATATATATATATATATATATATATATATATATATATATATATATTGCTTTTTTATATTACTTTTTTCCATGTTCTTTTTTTTTTTTTTGTTATTGCTTATTGTAAACTATGTTACTTCTGTATTTACATTAGTCGGACTATTGTCCTCATCTTTGTCGCCATATTTGTCACAACGCTTCGGCCGTAGTACGCTCCGGCCTTCTTCAGGTGGTTGGAATTTCGAACTGAACCCTTTATTTCGATCACTGGGGTAGACTTTTCTAGTTCCACGTGCCATGTTTTGATGGATGTCAGTTCTCCTGCTAATTTTCCCTCTGAAAGTTCTCCACTGCCTTAATCAAATAATGCCTTAACCAGGTATTGAACTCACCTTCTTTGGGTCTGTCACTGGATCTAACCAACGCCTTTATCCACTGTGCCATGTGTCCTTGAGGAACTTCTGAGTATTATAAACCTAATGTTTTCAGCATCATTTTTACCAGTGCTCATATTGCAATTTTGCTGTTATCATTGCATGTCTTTACCAGAATTCATATTTCAACTTTGTTATCATTGCTTTTCTCTGGCACTCCTTATTACTGGTTCCCATATTGTATTTATTTCTATGCTTAGTCGGCTCAGGAGATTTTTGTGGCCTAGCATATGTGCTGATTCCTTAAGTTTACGAATTTTCCAACTCTGATATATATAATACTAATAAACTTATAAAAGTAAGTAGCTATACTCCTCCGGCAAAACTTTAAGTGTTTTAGCTTGTAAATGAACAAACCAATACCCAAGGGGAAAAAAGGAGAAAAAAAGAAAGAACTAAGAACATGTACTTCCGGCTAAAATAATCGTCTAGAATCTAAGTTCAGAATCCAAAGAAAAAAACCTTCCGATACGAGTAAAGTAAAATAACTAATCAAAGTCCTCAATATGCTAAGCAGACCAAAATAAGTAAACCAAAATAAGCCAGACAAACCTACCAAAGTTTCACCTACGCGGATCGTCAGGGCAGACTTTAATCCATTCAGATACACAATAATTACATGCAGGGTGAATGCCTTATATGAAGAATCAATAAACGCCATATTTCTGTTGTAATTTCCGAAGAAACGTTTACTTTGTGTTCGTTAATATTTGATATTATTGAATATTGGCCTTTTATTGTTTTTATTAATAATGCTTCCATTATATTTAACCTTTTTAACATGTGGGTGAGGCTATTATATTTCTATTATCAATGTATATATTATGAATAGAGTTTAGTAGATCTCCGTGTGTATTTAAATGAAACCCAATTGAGCTGTGGTCACAAAGATGTAACGTAAGTCTTCTTGTTAGGTATGTTGTAGTATATCCAATATAATTATTTATGAATTAAGGGAGATGTAAATCCGCAAATAATATTGGTTCTCTGTACTTTGAAGCTTGCAGGTGAGTTATTATTGTTGAAAATGAGGTTAGCAATTTGAAATGTTTTATAGATAATTAATTTAATTATTTTCTTGTTTTTGTCGGCTGGACTTGTGTATTTCTTTATAATGTTTCTAAATGAAGATTCGACATGCTTGTAGTTACTAAGCATTTGCTTTTTTTATAAAATGACAATTCTATATGTAGTTTTACAATTTTTACATTTACGCCCATAAAATAAGAAAACTACAAAA